AGCTGAAGGTCCTCCCCATCCAAAGCTTGCTCCAACCGGGTGCGGACTCGTTCGAGCATCTTCCGCTTCCCGGCCGTAAAACCCCAGCGGCCGAACGAGACGATCAGCTCTTCACCGATCGCTGTTCCCCGGGCTTCAGTGAGGAAGGCCGAGCCCAGCTCCTTGTCCTTGAAGGCTGCCCGCGCCAGCTCGCTCGGATTCTCGAGCTGGGCCTTCAGCTCCCTAGCCTCTCCGATCGCCCGGCTGGCGACCTTCTCGGCAAGCACCCGTTCATCGTCACCCTTCTTCAGGGCCTTTTGCGTTTTCTCCAGCTCGGCCTGGAGCTCTTTGATCTCCTTCAGACGACGAGCGGCCGTCTTCTTGTGGTGATCAGCCTCCTCGGCCAGCATAGCTTGACCCTGAAGAAGTTGGGTCGCCCGGGAGATCTGCAATACAAAGAGGATATTCAAGATTAGCCCGATCAAGGATACTTCGGCTAAGTCATGGCCGATCCGTTCGGCCACCTGAGTTGGGGTCATCTTCCCCAGGTCCGCTCGGGCTGGCGCGGCATTGCCGATCCGTGCCAGCACGGATGTAGGCTCCCTCTCCCGCCCGGCCGAAGGGCTCGGGCTGTGTTGGTCGCGGCGGCGCTTCATGCCGCCCACCTCGGTCGCGCCCTTGTCGGCGACTTTCTCCTTTCCCCGGGCGACCTCCACCCGAGTGACCAGGACGTCCGGCTGCTCCACGATGAAGCCCTCGCCCGTCGTCACGGTCGAGGCGCTCAGCGGTCGGGCAGATGGAATCTCCTTCTCCCCGGCCGCTTTGGTCTTGGCCTTCTTCTTCCCGCCGAGGGAGATCTTGACCGGCGGGGGAAGGGCGGTGTCTTCATCGCCGAACTCGGCCATAGCTGCAAAGCAAGAAAATTAGTTAGATCGAGGTAATAAGCCAGGTCGAGAGAAGTAGCTCGTGCCAAACCTTTCTTTTTTCGTTTTGACGGCTTGGCGACCGTCACGCCCATCGGAACGGGCAGGTACTTCTCCGGCAGCTCGTACGTGGGGGGCGGGAGCATGGCAGCTGCGAGACTTTCAGCCGTCCGGAAGATTGTGTATTCGTGCACCTCGCTCGAAATCCGGCTGACCGTGTCCCTCAGCGCTTGCGTCTCGACCGGCACCACTTGCTTTCTGAAGTGGCTGCTCCAAGCGCGGTCGACCGGGAGGATCCAGGGGTCGTATTTGATGGAGAAAATTCTGTTCTTCCACCCCTTGTTGTTCCCAGGCAGGCCTTTGATGGAGCACATATCTGCCCGGGACTGCAGCATCAGGAACCCACCCCCGTAGCGGCCCGGGAGAACCTTGATCTGGTAGATGAAGTTGAACAACTCCATCGTGCACTCGGCCTCGTGCCGAGCACATATCTGCGGGAAGCAGGCGAGGATCCGATGCGCGTTCGGGCAGATCTGGGCCGGGGCGACCCGGTAGTAGGCCAAGAAGGCGTTCAGGAGGGGGTGAAGGGAATGGCGATCGGGGCCATCAGGGAGTCGTAGTGCATCCCGATCCACTTGCCCCGATGCCTGTCAATCACGTTTCCCAGCTGCCGGCTCGTGTCGAATTCTGCCCGACCCCGGAGTATTTCAGCAATCCGAGCCGCTTCGCCTTTGGTTAGCAGGCTCGTTTCTTGCTCGACACTCTCGCTGTTCAAGAATTCGAGCTCGACGGCTGGTGTGGCCGGCCCGGCCGGGTCTTCGTCGGTCTGCTCGGGAGTATTTTCTTGATCATCTCCTCGATGAGCAGCTTCCGGGTGGTCCCCAACCACCCGGGTAGGCGTTTCCCTAACGCCCTCGGTTGGAGAACCCCGCCCGCTTGACGTGGCTCTCTCTTCCTCTTCCTCGCTAGAGCTCCCCGATCCGCTGGAGCTAGAGCTCGACGTCCCGGAGGAGCTTGATGCGCTGTTGTGCTTGACGGCCCGATCGGGGGCCGGCGTTGCTCGGGGGCTGGCCTCGGGAGTGTAGGACATAATGTCCACTTCCTCGTCGCTGATACGTTCGACCTCCTCATCATAGCCCGCGATCGAGGCGTTTTGACTATCCGAGTCCGACATAATTCTACCTAAAGGTCGGTCGGGAGTTAGTGCAGGGTTCGGGGAATTAGCTCGAAGTTAGTGCTATCCTACTTCTACGCTAAGTAAAGAGTAAACGAAGAGTAAAAGCTAAGAGCTTACCGAGTGAGGAAGCTTGGAAGAGGATCTGAAGTGATGCTTTGCTTGACCGCCTTGCTGAGATACTCTGCTCGGGATTCTTAGAGGATACCGACTGAAGCAAAAGAGTGAGGAAAGTTCAAATGAGGGCCTCAAGGGCCTATTTATAGGAGGGCATTTAGGCGGGAAATAGGCCAGCTTGCCTGACACGACCCGCGCTGAATCCGAGGCGACGGATGGGATCGCCGAGGCCGGCAGAGGCCGACACGTGGCGTAGGAGGGAATGACAGCTGGCGGGTCGGCTTGGTGGCTGACGGTTGGGCTTCTTCATCCCGTCCCGTTTTTTCCCGACTGATCAAAAAGGCCCGGGCTGGGGGGCTCTTGGTAGGGAATATCCCGACCGACATAGCTTCACCACGACCGAGGAGCCTTTTGTCTTTTTCTCCTTGTCTCTGCAGGTAACAGGTCGGGCTCCATGAGAAGAACCCGGTCGTAGACCGACCGGAGTTACCCGAGCGGCTGTGTCGACCACCGAGCGGCAGCCCTTCGGCGAAAGAGCTGACGAAGGACACGTGGCGGCTCTTTACATCGACAGGCAGGGCACCCAGGAGGATGGCACGTGGTGGCTACGTGGAAGACATGCCGAGCGGCTGGGATCTTGTCTCCGGCACAGCGGCTATAAATGCCCACAGTAGCAACAGTGTAGGGGACTTTTGGACGATCGATAGGTTGTTACTAGAGAATCCCGACCGCACTCAGTCGGTACTCAGGGCAACCAAGTAGATTGTACTTAGGACCTTTACCGTGGTCAATAAAGATTTTACTTGCTTTAATTGGTCTCGTGTTATTTTATATTGCTTACACCTAATTAGCAGTATCATATATATATATATATATATATATATATATATATATATATATATATATATATATATATATAATATTACATATATACTGCTGCACATCTCTATTCCTTACCTATTCCATTCCTAATGGAATAGCATTCATATTCCCTCCAAATTGATTCCGTGAACCAAACGGGCCGTATATGTACAAAAATAGAATATTCGTTTGACTCCTTAGTCATATACTCATACGTTTTGAAAATATTAAATTATTTTTAACCATTTTATCTTATATGTTTAACATTTAAAAAAAAAAAAAACATATTTAACTAAAATATAAAAGATTTGAGTAAATTTTCAAATCTTACCAAAAGCTAAAGGAAGGTATATATTTGATTTTATTATGGACATTAACAAATAATTGGAATTCATAAGTCAATTAAATTATGCTATTTATTTTTTCAGATTAAAAGTTGATAAATGGTTATCAGTTTAAGATTTAAACACTACTGGAAATTATGAAATTTGTGATTATCTGAAAGTGATCTTAAATCAAATCGAAAGCAAAAAGTGATCGAAAATAACAGTAAAAGTTTTTTCGGATATTAAAAGTGGTCGAAACAATGCTTTCGACTTGATTTAAGATCACTTATAGGTGGTCGAAAATTTCATAATTCCTGTAGTAAAATTTAAAGATTGAATAAATTAATAATCTCACGATTTAATAGAAAATTGTATATGGTAAATGGAGACGAGGATACACTAGGTTGACTTTTTTATATGTTAAGATTGTATTATATTTATTCTCTGAAGATTATATTATATTTGTTATGAGATTTGATTATACGAAGAGAAAATTTCAATTTTGGTCTACTGATTATTGCACTTGTGTTAATTGAAATACTTGATTTTCAAAAATGTTAATTTAGTACTTCGACTATGCAATTTCTATCAATTTTGGTCACGCCAGCCAAATTGCCGGCCAAATCTCAAAATAGCCGACCAAATCTCACCGGAAAAACTTAAACATTTTAAATAAAAGGGCAAAAGTGTCATTTCATGTTATTTAAACATCCTTCTCTTCTCCGACATCCTTCCCCTCCTCCGACAGCCTTCCCCTCGTCGCCGGCATCAACAGGGATCAGCCAAAAAAGGGCGTTTCTATTACTTTTGTCCATGACCTTCACCGAAGTGTAATCTACGTCAGGAGCCTCCCCCCAACGTTCAGCCTGTACGGAGTTTCCATGGCTGTGGAGTTATCAAAATGGACATCACTTATTATCGGATAATTATTATTGTCGCCTCTGAAGTATAAATCAGACGGCATGGACACAATTTCGATTCCATTCACAAAGGCATAAGGAGAAGGTGAGAAAGTAAGGTTCAGTTGCTGTTCGATTTGGCCGACGAGAACTTCGACGATGAATTCCTTTTTGCTGTTCGAATGCCGGCGAGAACTTCGACGAGAAGGTGAGAAAGTAAGGTTCAGTTGCTGTTCGAATGGTGGAGGCGGTAAGTATCGACTTCGAGGATCACGGCGCCTCCGAGGAGCAACTCCTCTTGTCGGACACCAACACCGCCGACCGGTCTTGGTGCTTGAACTCCGACGGCTTCCAGAAGGTGTTGAGGAAGAAGAAGAAGTAAATAATTTTTTAATTTTTTTTAACGTTAATGACTGTTTTGCCCCCCTAAATAAAAAATTAAAAAATGTTTAAGATTTTTCGGTGAGATTTGGCCGGCGTGATCAAAATTGATAGAAATTGCATAGTCAAAGTACTAAATTAACATTTTTAAAAGTCAAGTGTTGCAATTAACACAAGTGCAATAGTCAGTGGACCAAAATTGAAATTTTCTCATTATGCGAATATATTTATAATATTCCAAGTTCCAATAAAACACAGTAGTGTTAATGACTGAAATAGGAGAAATGTGAAGGCAATGATAAAAATAGAAAATTTTTAAAAAGTGGACAATATAGAAAAATTCACCGCCTTGTTTGGTTTCGGGAATTTCACAATCCTTGCGCCTCTTCTCCTCCGCTGCTTATCTCTGCCTCTTTCTCGCGCTCTATCACTCGTCTCGTCTCATCTCATCTCGTCTAGATAAGACTGTCTAACATAGTAGAAGAAGAAGAAAACGATGCTCTGTGTTCGTGGGGGTATACTCTCTCTGCTTCTTTCTCATTTCATTTAAATATACATTTGCACTAGCATACACAAGTGGCCTGAAATGCACATTAAGTGTTTGTCAATTTTCCCCATAGAAGGTTTTTTTTTGGGTTTGGCGTTACTTGCAAATACATTTCCTACCTAGATGGCGAATTTGTTTTTCAGGGCTAAATGCGGGGATCCAGCTTAAACCCGACATCAAAAACTTGCTCGCGCGAGGTAATCAAGAATTTCAAGTTTTCAATTCTCTCACTCTCTCTGTTTTTTTTTTTTTTTTTTTTTTTTTTTTGGTTTGGTTTTGGTTTTCATACGACTTCATCATTTTAGTAAAAATGCAAGGAGTTGAGCAATTAAGTGGATACAAATCCAAAAATTCCCTTTTTAATGAATTATTTGGAAAAATGGGTGGGAGGAAATTTGAGGAGCTTCAACCTGTGGTGTATTAGGAACTTTTCAATGCACAACAAGGTGTGCATTTAATCCAACATGTTGGAATTGCTGTTGTTAGTTAAATAATGCTCCTGATTCTCTTTGCACAATATAAAAATCTTCCCAAACAGATGTGCATAATACTTTAAGAAAGTGAAATTCTGTTCAGTAGTGCCTTTTTATGGAATGTTTTCTTCTGTAAAACTGGGAGCATTGTGCATGTGAATTACTGATAACTAGTTATTTTTGCCGGCTCATAATGCATTGATTGTTGTCTTGTATATTCATTCATTCTGCAGATCTGTCAAGTATAGAAACACATTCTGCTTGCATCAAAACTTCCTCAAGGAACAGAACACGCATGTTGAAGTCAACGAAAGTATCCTGTGCTCACAACGAGCAACAAGAGAAAAGACATTTAGTCAAAATGTGTGGAATTACATCAGCTAGAGATGCTGCTTTGGCAGCAGAAGCTGGTGCAGATTTTATAGGTATGATTATATGGCCTAACTCAAAGCGTTCTATTTCACTAACTGTTGCAAAGGAAATTTCAAAAGTTGCAAGGGAATATGGAGCAAAGCCTGTTGGGGTCTTTGTAGATGATGATGCTGATACAATACTGAAAGCATCTGATGCAGCAGACCTTGAATTGGTTCAGGTAAATAACTCGTGTATATTAATTGCCTTCTTAGATTACTTAGTTGTTCTTCTTCAGCACATAACATGTAAAAACGATGCAGCTTCATGGGACTGGTTCACGAGATGCTTTTCCGATTCTAGTGAAGGAGGAAAAACAAGTAATATATGTTCTTCATGCAAATGAAGATGGAGAACTTTTGAACACTATTTCTGATGAAGAGTCTTCTATGGTTGACTGGGTTCTAGTTGATAGTGCCAAAGGTGGCAGGTATCAGCAAATCCTACTATTTCTATGCTCTCAAGTTTTCATGCCAATTCATCAATCTCTAAAGCTTAGTTCGCTACATCTTATAAAGATTGGATAGGAACCAACTTTAAGTAATTGCTTGGGTGTTCTTGTGTTTCGGGTTTTGTTACACTACTTACTGAATTGGTCGATGAAATGCTTGATTTGTCTTTTTTTAACTAACCTATAAATTGCATTGTGAATTTATTCATACCATAGACATTTCAACAACTTAATATTTACAAGAAGAATGCTTTTCTGTTTAGTCAAACTTTAAATTTCTTAATTTGCAGAGTTACTGAACAGCGTGGTGAAATTAAGGTTTTTTTTTTTTTTTTTTTCTCCCTTAAATGAAAAATATATTTACTTTGCAGTGGTAAAGGATTCAATTGGGCACGCTTTAAGCTCCCGCCGATCAGAAGTAAATACGGGTGGCTCTTGGCTGGAGGGATTTACCCCGGGAATGTATGTGAAGCGCTTTCTACTCTAAAACCGCATGGAGTTGATGTCAGCAGCGGCATTTGTGCTCCAGATGGGATTCAAAAGGATAAGTTGCAGATACTCTCCTTCATGAATGCGGTGAATTCTCTATGTTAGATGACATTACTAATGCAAACAGACCTTGTGTTAGAGTACGAGCAGAGCTGTGTTAAGAGTACCTCTTTATATAGAGGGTCTTTGAGCCATTCTTATATAAAGAGTGCAAGATTATTAGCATACATTATTTCTCATTTTGGTTCACTTCACTTGCTCTGGTCAAAAAGGTGCAACATGATTGGACAATTAGAACAATGTTGAATGAACATTATTGAAAGCACTCTGCATTAGTGCAATGGCATTCTTGTTAATCAGGTTTGAATTATGAATATTCATTCTTGTGTACCAACTGTGTCTGGGATGGGGTCCATCTTCTCATGAAATGAGATGAGGGTACATCAATGGTGGCATTGAGTTAGGCAATGCTAGGAAGCTGGTGCTACGGATAATTAGGGATGACAATGAAGCGGAGAGCATATCCCCTCCTCAATACTCACTGCCATACCTATGTGAGTACAAAAAATCTTGCTCAATCCCGCCATTTTGTCCAAACCTCCCTATTGGAACAAGATACAAATAACTTGTGGGGTGTAGATACAATTGACATTCATACACAAATACACAATCTTGCAATTTGTGGTAGTACTTGATAATATGGGAACTAAATTGCATCATGTTTGCATATAAAACTACTCCCTCTATTGTATTTTATATCTGAGAGTAAATTTAACTTCTCGTTCTTCAATTTTTTTTGTAAATATGTAATTTTTAAATTTGACTTTTGTTTCCAATAAATTTTTTAATATAATTTCTAAATACATAACTAATGTTCAATTAAATAATACATAATATTGAAGACTTGATTAAGCCTCAAGTGACAAAGGAGTTTCTTTGTGGGGAAGATCTTAGAGATAATTCGGGTTCGATTTCAACAAGTGGCACTTCTCCTTTGGTCGGGTTTAAAAAAAAAAATTCAAGACTTGATTGAGTCCAGAGAGCATGTCCTTCTACGAGAATTTTCACGATTTATTATTCCATCAATTATTTCTTCATTTTATTTAGATTATCCGCTTACATGGCACCCCAAAATTATGAGTTTTTTTTTTAGATTGAGACAAATGCTTACCGATCTTGACTTTCAATTTGATCTCATCTTACTTTATGTAAAGATATATTATCAATTTTTTCAAATATTTTTATAGCTTTTGCTAAATAATCAAATTGTTCATATGTTAGTTTGAAAATCTCTTTTTATGTCCGGTTGTAAGGACTAAGGAGTGGCTTGGCCACCCGCCTTCTTTTATTTGTTATGTTTTGTACTCGGAATTTGGTTAATGATAGTTTCTTTGTGTTGGAAAAAATAGCTTAAAATAGCATAAAATGACATGTTAAGTGACTATTTTGTGGTATAATTATCAGTGGGGTCCACTTTTGATTTGGGTTGGGTCAAAATAGATTTGGATTCTTCGTAGTGAGACGAAGAGATTGATATATTGTATGTTCAAAACGGATAATGGGTGAATGATATATTGATTCTCAAAGTAGACCCATTTGAGTTGGAAAATGAAGGGAAAAAGTGAGCTTTTGTCCCACATTGGTTTGGGAAGAAGATTTGCCATTTTGCCCCACTATTTATACAAGAGCTTTTGTTAACCTTATTGAATTGTATAATATAGAGGCTCTCTCTTGTGGGCAAGGAGAGTGGAGGTGCAAAAATGAGATTGAAAAGGTTGGCTCAAGCCTAATCTTGTGTGCGCTTGCACCAGCGTGCATGAAACCTTGGTATCATTTTCCAAATTGTTTCTTTTCTTGGTTAATAACAATATTAATATTGTTGTTACGGAGAATTAATTCTAATTTTAAATTTGAATTAAAATCCATGTTAATGGTTGTTGTTACCGGAGTTGTAAGGGTGCCCGCCTAAATTAAAAGCTATTCAACTCCTCAACCCCTATATAAGAAAGAGGAGTTTATTCAACTCCTCAACCCCTATATAAGAAAGAGGAGTTGGGCAGTAAAATTTTACACACAACAAGAAAGTATACAGCCTACCGCCAGATCACAGCAAGGAAGAGTGATTGCTTGACTCTTGCTAAAACCCAACACCAAACACTACCAAATTCTCACAGCTTTCATTCCCTTATTTTCAAGAAAAATAATAATTTTATTTTATAGATTATTATTTGTTTTTCACCGTTGGATATCCAACACTTTGTTGCTTCAAAAAGAAAAAAAGAAAAATTGTTAATGCACTATTCCATAACAATTTTCAACCAATAATATCCTGACCCGCCTTCTCTGATCATTGACCAAAACCCTGCTCCCATCTCGCCTCTGCGCCTTCGCTCATCCCTGCATCGCTATCGCCAGTTTTCAAGGTTCAAACTGAAAATTGAAAATCTTTTATATATTCTTCGTTCTTCAACTTTAAGAGGGATAAATAAATTATCTTGGAAAAGGACAAACAGGCGAAATTTACGTTCTTAATCAATGCTTACCTACGCACAATCATATATATGTTTTGCTGTTGATCTGTGAAGCTTTTTATTGCGGGCCGCAGTTTTGCAAGTCTAGAGAACTGAAGAGAAAGTTCGTTTCTCTTTTTCTTCTAATTTGTGATTTTATTATTTTAAATAGCCGTTGATATTCTATTGTTTAATTTTCACATCCTGGTAACTGGTAAGATGATCGGATGCAAATTTTAGAAAAATTTAATGTAATTAGAATATATAATCGTTTCTGTGAAATTCACTTACAGACTTACCATTCACACAATGCTTTGTTTGTAATACCAGAATGGAGAATGTTTGTATGACAAAAATGGGAAAAGCATGTGTAGATGATTGTGATTAGAGAAGAAAGATTTGGGATTTTTTTAGTTAGTTTTTTTAATCACCTGGTTAGTCTATTGCTCTACTAGATCACTCACTGGGAAATGGGAATATGCCTGACAGGACTATTATTTTATTTCTTATGTTAGTTGAAGCAAACCCACTTTTGAATTTGGATTTTCCATGGGATTGATGTCTTTTAACGAATCTGCTAAAGGTGCAGCTCGATTGGAAAGTAGAAAACTGTGCTAATTCCAGTAGTTGCGGATGGATTGGATTTGGAATTTGGATTCAGTGCTTCTCTGATAATTATTTGCAGGTGTGAATATTAGGGGTAAAGTGGTAAACGAAATGATAAAAAGGCGATTTTACAAGCTTGAACATGGGGATAGAGATGCTCCTTCTGAGTCATCTTCATCTTCCTCTGACTCTGAATTAGAGACTAAAGCAACAGAAGAAGATCAGGGACAAGAAAATCATGAAGAAGAAGATGATGATAAGGATGACTACAAAGACAGTAGTGATGATTATAAAAATAGAGTCACCGAAATGCAAAAGCAAAATATAACAGGTTCTTCATTGTCTGGTAAGTCCCTGACCAATTTTAATTCCTTGTTGGCCTCTTCATACTCAATCTCTGGTAAAGTTGATTAATTGTGGGTGCTTTCATTCTCCTTAAAGAGAACAATAAATTAAGGAAAAGAAAACAGTGATCATTTACTTCCAAATTCAAACTCTTATGATAGTGTTTAAATCAAACTTCCACTGTTAGTTGTTTTATAATAAGACTAACTGTAGTTGTTTTTAGACTTGAATTTAAGTTATGACATGGTTTCATTGCTGAAGCTAGGAATGACAATGGGGTGGGGTGGGGTGGGGGATATATTCCTGCGCCCCACACCCGCATTCCCACCCTGCACCCGCGCCATCCCTCATCCCTGGGATGCGGGTAGAATTGCCATCCCTAGCTGAAGCTCTTAATTTCCTTGTGTTCTCACCTTCTTTTTTTCTTTATTCCTATATGCAGGATATGAGAGTGAAGATAGCTCTGCGCATGAAGTCAATCTAGACTCTTCAGGTTGAACTGTTAAATGCAGTTACTTCCTGTTCTAGTCTTTGTTGTCCACATGGCATTGCTGTGCATATATTTTTGTGCAATATGCTTAAAATCTTCTGTACTGCATAGGAGAGGTTATACATGTAAAGTGGGGACTCTTCAGTTTCCCTTCCCTTCTGAATAAGGTTATTTCGTTATGCTTTGTTTCTCCACAGCCTTTATAATGGGGAACGAAAGAAATTTGTAGTAGGGAAAAGACCAAAAAGTTAACTGTCCATTTATTTATTTTCCACTTACTGTTGGAGTAGATAATTCCTTGTTCTAGTTTCCTAGTTAATGTCACTTCCATTGCTTCTTTGGGAAAAAAGGGTTTAAGGTTTTCTGACTTATGAGGAACATTTGAAGGCAACTATAATCGTATACTAGGTCTACTATATATCCCAAACATCAAGGTCAAGAGATAAACCACATGAAGCTCATTCTATTCTGTATCATATCTGTCACCTCAATTAGAATTTATAGAAAATAACTTCATCACTTGAATGCTAACTGGAAAATTTGTTCAAGCCCAAGAGGTAAAAGTGTTCAGGTACTTAATCACTTTAATTTTGGATGAGATAATCAGGTTGAATGCCTACAAGAGCTGAATATAGTTTGTTAATGTTGCTTCAATTTGCAGCACCATTGCAAACTTAATTGTCTGCCACATATATTTGGTATGGAATATTTGAGTTTTTTCATGTATACTTCTAGCACAACGCTCCCTTGGCCTTTTATCTTCTTTCCCAATTGATGTAGATAATTTAAATCCTTTGTCATTATTCATTGTTTTAAAGCTTTCTAATTTTTAGTATTGTTATTACTGGCAGGGCCTCCAACAAGTGATGATGATATTGAAACTTTAAATGACAGAAAAAGCATCAGTGAAAATCATTTGTTTAGCAGGGGCATTGGTGAATCAGATAATATTCAGCATAAAACTGTGACCAAAGTGGATGATATGCCTGGTGAACGTTCAAACTACATCCTGAAGCATAAATCTGTTTTCAAGTGCAGGATATGTCCTAGAATTGTCTGCTTGTCAGAGGAGACTTTGAATATTCATCTGAAATCCAAAGTAAGTATTTACTCTGACAACTTTTCTGTTCCAAATCAAAATGAAATATCCTCATTGCTGAAGAATTGGGGTCTGTTTACTCGGGAATCTGTTATATGTCCTCCGCCAGTTAACTGATTAACAGAGGGCACTGCATTTTATTGTTAGAGGCATGCCAGATCTGAGAAATTACTAAAAGAAGGTAGGCTAAAGCTTATGCTCAATGATAATGGGAAAATTGATGGAGAAGAGGAGCATTCAAGGAGAAAGGTATGCTCTTCTGCATTTTGGATCTTGATTAACCTGATACTCATGTAGGTTGCTCAATTTATTTGTTTAATACGTCATAGGAAAAGACAGTGCCAGTAACAAAGAGAAAGAAAGGATTCAAGAGGCAGAGGTGGGGGAAGAGGTCACGGAAGGTATAATAATGTTGATTCATCTGCCTATGTTGCTTATGCTGTGATTACATATAAAATAGACTGAGTGCATGTTGATTCTATAAAAGACATTGTAGGAAAACAAAAAAACTATTTGAGCATGGATAATACAAGAACAAAGATCGAGTCCAAGATAGGGTGGAAAAATGACAGCTGAGAAATATGCGATCAGTGGTTGACTTGTGATATGGGCAAGATGAGGGAAGCTACAGGAACTTTGCAATAAGGAAGCGGCAGGAGAAGTTGAAAGTAAGCTTTTGATTATGGCTTTTAAGCAGAAGTATCATTTCGGACTGACAGAAACCGTTCTTTCCCAAAATTTTGAGCAGGTAGTGGGGTGGTTTAGTACTAAGACTAGAATTTTGTGAATGGATGTCGGTCCTTTGGCATGAAGAACAGAAGTTTATATTAGGAGTGAGATAAAATTTTGAAGACCCTTTATTTGATCCATAAATTTTCATCAATTCTTGGTCTTCTTGATTGTGCCAAATTTTTAGATGTTATTTCTTGAAGATATGCCAATGATATGAATACTGGAAGAAGTTTGTAGTGTCCTTGACCTTTAGTCCAACAAACCTTAGGGTTATGAACAAATCATAGCACAGATATTACCATTGATACAAGGTTCGTGTATCCTTGCTGCATGAGAGAGAAAAGTAAGAAGAAAAAAGTTAGGGTGACTGTCAATTGGCGACTATCCTAATGTGCTGATTGGGTAGAGTTGGTGTGTGCAACAGACATCACTCTTTAATGACTTTTTAAAATTCAAGGAAAAAAATTTAGTTTTAATACTTAAAACTTTATTTTCTCTCGTTCTCCTTCCATTTCTCCCTCACATTATCTTATTCTCAAAAAGTAAAAATTTAACATTTTGAGCTAATGGAGATGCTCTAAGAGCAACCTTGACAAGTTCAATTTTTTTTGTCAAATATTTTCTTGCCAAATGAAAGAGAGGGGTGAGAAAGAGGAGAAAAAAAAAATCAAAACTGCTGAAAAAAGTAATTAAATGCAGGCGATTGACGCATTAGCATTCAACTAAAAGGAAGATGTGACATAAATCCTTTGGAAGGCCAACATTCAACAAAGGAAGACATTATATGAACTTTTTCAAAAGCCAGCATTCAGACAAGAGGAAGGCATTATATAAACCCTCACAGAAGTTAACATCTAGGTAAAATGGAGGCATCACTCAAAGCAACCACACCAATAGTTTTTTGATGATTTTTGTCAAATTAAAAAATCAAAGATGGGTTTTTTGTTGATGTGGGCATTGGTTTTTTTAAGTTAAATTTTACTCCTGCAATGTTAAGTTTTTTGTGGGTCCCAATTGAGAGAGATGATAGCAGAGTACTCACTTTGTGCACGTTGGCCGCACATTCAGCGCCCAACTGAGTGCACGCGCCCGCTGGCACGTCTTCTACTTTTTTTTTTAGATGCGACAAACCTTTTTTTTTTTTCCCTTCTTTTCTTTGTTTACTCTCTCGTTGGCACATAAAAAACCGTAAAAAAGTTGAAACTGATGTGGTTGCTCTTAAGCCATATGGGGGATAGTACAAACTACAAAGTCCTTCCAAATAGGAAATGAAGACACCAAGCAATTTTCTAGAATACATCTCGTAGGTAAGAAAGGTCACAATGTAAAGGATTTCCTAAGTTGATTCCCAAGCCAATGAGAGCTTCACCCAAGCATCCTCTATATGGAGGATGAAGGGAAAGTGCAACATTGTAGTCACCACTCACCATCATGTTAGTCTATTCTGCCTAAGGAATACTTTGTAAAGTCAGCTAAAATGGACGGGCACGAATAGTCAAATATAGTTATGTTCATATCATCATAATATTATTATACAATATATTATAAACTTATAATAAATAAATTAAAAGCACAACATGCACATAATATGAACATGATTCACAATGCGAATGGTGGACCCTGATCCACAATATAATGATTGAAAATATTCAATTGAAATAGTAAAACCTCATTTCATAAGTTGAGCACATTTTTAAGGAAAGATAAATCTCATCTTTAATAGTTAGTTTTTTGTACACGTCACAAACTATCTAAAGTAACCTTGCAATATTAAGAGTAAGAGTTCTACTATACGAACTCTTAAATTTTACCCTCTCAACCAAATTACTTAATGTGACAAGCTAGGATAGAACATTTTCATCTTGTGGATCCCAAAAAAAATTGTCTACATCATATATTTGGGAGTAGGGAATAAAAATTGAGAGTAAATTTGAGAGTACCTATAACTTTCCGAGTATTAATACACAAAAGGCCCTACTCCTATACTAAGGAGTAGGGAAGATCTCAAAATTAGTAATGAACTTTGAAGCACAAACTAATCAAGCAAGGGATCACTTCATCCACCATCTATTGCAAAATTGAATTTCCACCAGTGAGTTACAAACTATACACAGCATTCCTTTCCACAGATAACAAGCTACTAGCTCTATATACACAACCCCCAAAATCATTATTTAGGTTCATTGCTGACATCCATTTTTCGAGTCTGAGAGCTAAACATTTCAGCAATATCTGCAGCTATGCTACATTCCTCGGGATTTCTATCAGCAACGGAGTGAATGAACCTTGGAAATCTGACAGAAATACCCCGAGATGGATGAACTAAACCCATGGCTGCATGATGAACTGGTGATACTGTGAACTCAGCACCCCGTATCTCCCAAACTAGTTCGGGAGAAAACCACACATCAGGGACTTCAGCAGTTTGATAGTATGGCGGTTTTTGCCCCAAAATCTTATCCCCAGAGAAGAAGTCTTTCATCTGCAAAAAATGTAGTAAAGAAAGCAACAGTTCAATGTATGAGTATATTTAATTGAAATTATTCTTAGGGAATTATGCATTTATGCAAGCCAGGTCCCAAAGCCCATACCAGCTGCAATGTAATTATGATACAGAGTGTGTGGGGGGGGGGGGGGGTGGGGGGGGGGGGGGGTCGATTATAGGGTAAAAAGAAGTTTCTTAATCAAATTCTCATTACATTTGTTTTCCATATTCATATCCAAACAAAAGGTGGAATATTTCATCAATAAGTTCACCTCTTTATAGAACGCATCTGAGAACCCAGACATGACACGGCAGACGCTCTGATATTCTTCAGTGTCAGGGTTATAACAAGCCATAAGGAAAGGACTATACCTGCAACGCATTAATGAAAGCACATAACAGTCATATGAGCCACACTGGAGTCAACATACATCTCTCTCCAATGTCATTAAAAAGTAGATAGAAGGTATATATATGTGTGTGTATATATATATATATATATATAGGCCAGTGTTCCCGTGTGTCCACCCTTCTCCATGAGTCCGTGTGGACAGATCTGAGCCATTGAATACTTGAGATCAATGGCTTAGATTTGGCCAACTGTGCACTTCACTTGCACAGTTGGCAAAATTTAAGCCATTGATCTCAAGCATTCAATGGCCCAGATCTGTCCACTCGGACTCATATAACAGGATGGACTCATTTGATCACTAGTCTATATATATATATATGAATGTTTTCTTACACAGGCATGTGCTTGCATTACAAAGACTAAGCCCGCTACATTTCATAGATCACAAATTTACCCCAGAAGATATTCCAATAAACTCATCCCAGATCTCCAAGTTGAACTCAAATATGATGTTGCAAGACAACTAAGGAGTAGAAATTATATAAGAAACAGAGATATTAATCATCATTACCATCCTGCTTTCCTTCCGTTCCCGTACCAAGCACCAATGGGCACCAAGTCGAGGGAGTCACTTAATCCTTCCATATAATCTTTCTTAACCTGCAAAATTGAAAAGATAGTTCAGCAGCAGAAACTATATTAAACTGTACAATAACATGTTAAAAAATAATACCTTCAGCCATGCATCAGAGCGCTTTGATGGTGTATACCCAGCATCTACATCCAGAGATTTAACCATAATTCCTTCACATGAAGATTGTAATGCATCATTGACAAAGCAGTTAATCCTTGTTAATGTAGCTTCATTATCTGTAGAAGAATCATCTACTTCTACCTAAAAGAAGGTCGAATTAGTGGCACCAACAGCAACAAAGTGACAAAAATTTAATGCAACCAAAACCAACTTACTGTCATTTCTCTTGCATACTCCAAGTATCCTCCTTTACCCTCACCAAACAAATCCTTCAAATCTGATGGCTTAAAAGGAAAAACGTTAGCATATATTATCCTCTAGGTATAGTAAACAGTAAATATTTACAAAGATAGAGACATGCACACATTTTCGTCTTTGCCGCAGTGGAAGATTCAACAACCTGCCACAAACAGAAATTCTCCAGGCTTCAGAGATCTCCTTTAGCAACACATAAACAGTCCAATATAGATAGGACAGGACAGAGAAAGAAGAAATACCATAGAAAAGCTGGTAAATTTATCAATGCTGTAACAATATTAACTATGTGGAAATCAGAGTAAGGAGAGAATCCAACAACTCGAGAATAAAACAAGATACTGGATTTACTGCTAAGGCCTATTTGAGAATTGCACCTCGTGTGATGCATATCAGGGTATAAATTGTATGCTTATGCATGAAAAATAAATGCAACTTATAACAACAATAAAGCCACATTGACTAAGGAAAGAGTGGGCAAGCACTTGTCTAATGACGATATTACATCATAAAACATCAATATACACAGAATCTCTAGTGCACCATTTCACCTTTACTTCTTCAACTTTAATAAGCTTAAAGTAAATGAAATCTTCCTACAATCAAAACTATGAGTCCAGGAATGCTAAAGGTGTGTCCATCTACAAGACTACAACATGAACCCAAAACAGGATGCTACAGAGATTAGCTTGTGGATGATTAAAGAGCAAACACCCATATGAAGTTATCAAAATCTGTGAACTGCTGTTTTCTGCAGATCCACAAATCAATGTTGCATTTTAAGTAACTGTTAAGAAAGTGCAATAATCTATAATATTAATTGATAGCAGTGCAAGAATATGTGGCAAGACAGTACAACAAATTGAAGAAGTGGTTTGGAGATAATTACTGCGCTCCATTGGCAAACATGATATCAAAGACAAAAATGCATATATCAACCTGGAAGAAGAAAAAAAATATCAGAAAAAGTAGAAATTCTAAGTTCAATAGAGAAGCAAGAAATCACATGATGCCATTGGCGACTAGAATAACTCCAAAATTATTGCAGGAATTTGAAGGATTTAAAGCTGCAGATAAAACTGTTCTTTGCACCACTGAAGAGTAGCAGCACAAGGTGAGCAAATTTTTTGTAACTAAAAGAGGTTAAACCAGAAGAGCTCAAAATTTTCAATCAAATTATGATCTTCTAACAACCCAAGGCGATAGAACTATGTGTATTAATAGTGCATATGCATGGGGATGGTAGACCTTTATTTTATCTAATGTGATCAAGGAATCTTTACTCCCTCTTTCTCGGGAAGATAATTCTTGGAATGACATGAGTTTTGAATCATTTTTCCTATTTATTGCAACCACCTGTTGAGCACAATAATAGGGTATCATCACTCAGTAAACAGCAGAAGTTTCTTAATAACATTACAGTTGTGGCTATTTACTGTGACATTCTGTGCAACTAAGTGCAAAAGCAATACCTCAGCATCTAGTATGAAAGTTTGTCCAGTAAGATTGCATGATTCTTTAATTATATCAACTACATCAGGGAATCTTCTTGTTGTTTCATCCCCATTCCTTGAGAAAATGCGCACAGAGCCATCAGCTAATCTGTGAATCTGGGCTCGCTGGCCATCATACCTGAAAAATATAAGTGTCCAAATTCCTGATTATATATTCTAACATTACAAGTTTTAGTAATAAAAACATATAAAATGGTTGGATATTAAGTTTGTACTTGAAAAACATTTTTTTGCTCTCACTTTTTATAGACATACGACTCATTTCTTCATTAAACTGCATTAAGAAATAATGAATTGGATGGCCTTGGGGACAAAGATCCACCACCCAACACTAGGAGGCTCCATATGTTAAGCAAGTAAAATAATAGTAGAGTTACATTATTACCAAATAATAACAACTTGATAGAAATATTACAATAGCCTCATTTATTCATAGGCTGAGAGGTAGCTAAGGAGTCTCTTGATATTCCAACATGTGTTAATCATGAAACTGAACTCTTCAACTAAAAGCCCATGAAGTTTGAACTTCTAGCAAGAATGACAGAAGCTGCAAACCCACTAGTTTCTTACATTCTTAACAAACTGTTTGGGTTCATGCACCTCCAAATGGATGGCTTGTCTACAAATGCGTGGTTATTTTCTAGTTACATAAAAAGGATGAAAGAACAAGGATGATATACAAACCAGAAATATGTAAAAGAAACTTTTAAGTTCCATGAAACTTACTTGTATTCACATGTAAAGGCTTTGTTTTGAAAACCGTTCAGTACTTGAGAGGCTCCATTAGTAATTCTACCAAGAGAAACAACAGATTTCAACAATAAGGATAACTATGATGATATTGTAAAAGAAACAAGTGCAGGACAGCAGGACTGATTCAGCTAATCATAAAAATGATAGAAACATATGTAAATGTACTTTGCAAGCATTGGCTTGATTGGGATGCCTGGAACCATAGACAAGATCATTGAAGAAAATTCAGTCCCTTTTTCCATTAAAGAAGGAACAAGCAGATCCTGTTCATAATAGATAAATGCCATTAATAAATGAAAAGACATAGAAAAAGTAGAGGAAGAAACTAACAGATTTTTTTCCTACATTTACAAGCTGATAAATACACACGTACTAGTTAGCCTTCATCTATCCTAGACTCCTATCTAACTCTTTGTATATTCTGACTATTTATTTCCATAACACCAACAAGAAAGCATCATTAAAAGAAAAGAAAAAAAAAAAACAAAACAAAAAAAAAAAACAAAAAAAAAAAAACAAAATTTATCATAATATTTCTCATGCATGAAAGCATGTTTTTGGATACTACTAAATAAAACCAAAGTAACAATCTCTCTAGGATAAGTATGACATGAACAGCCAACTACACTAATTAAATATCTGCAAGAAAAATCAACTTTGCAATTCAATACAAAAATTGAAGGCTCTACAACATATTAAATGTGCAAGTCCTTAATGGACAGAAGAATATTCTTATCAGAGTTAAGACTTTTTCCACCAGCTAATCTTCTATATAGAGTACACAACAATGCTCCAATCATCAAACCATGCATGGATAGGTACCAAAAGGTGCGAAAATGTGCAATGTTAATTAAGGAGAACTCCAATTTCAACTTCAGAAACGGAGTAACTAGAAAGAATATTTTGAGCTTTTAAGGAAATGGATGAGAGATCCCATTCCATGACAAAATTGTCCTTAGTCAATCATCAAATTCCACAAGGGAAAAGGAAAGGGGGGAAATGTCAGGAGGTGACATGAAATCATGAGTATCCTTTATTTCCCCCTAAAAATCTTGAAAAAGTGAGACTTCTGTCCTATTTCAGATGTTCAGGAACCTAGTACAGTTATTAGTATGTACTAAAATTAGAATAGCATTACATTTTAAATATACAGGACTTCAGAACAATGGACAGCACATAAATTTGGCAAGTCTTGATGTATTCTTTAAAGGGACTGGAAAATAAGCAAAGAAACCTAAATCAAACACAGGTAAACAACTTACCAAACTGGGAAGAATGTTATATGCTTCAACTACTTCTGTTGAAAGGCGCTAAAATTGAGTGAAAAATGGAATGTTAGCAGCAGGAAGATCCCAACGGCAATAGCAGTAGGTAAACAAAAGAGTCTTAAATAAATGAGGGTATGGATATATTCATCCACAACCACTGGGGAAAAAAGGGATTTCTACTGCAAACAGGAAAAGATGAAAGTATGATTTTGCCCAGAAAAGAAGGGAGAAAGTGAGACAAAAAAACAACAGACCTGTAAATGTTCTTTCATATTGCCAACAAGGTCTTTACTAGAACTAGAATGGATTGCAATTGCTTGAGCAAATGCAGGCAGAATAGTTCTCATCATGGCTCCAATGCGCAAATTTCTAACCTATGTATTAAAAGAATATCAAGAACATGCAAATATGCAATACAAGGTTTAAATCATGCTGGAACAATAATCTGCAAGCCGGGGGGGGGGGGGGGGGGGGGGTGGGGAAACCACACACACACAAACACAAAAAAAATAAAAAAAAATGCTTGCGTGCACCTTCACCACATCTTTTGACATTGGCCAATGAAAATATATTATAGTAAATTCAAAAAGACATTTTTACATTTAGTATTTTGCCTTTAAATATTAGTTGATTCTTATGAACACCATACAAATACTAAACAGCACGACACATTAATTTAAACCAGCATACCAAAGTTCTGACAATAAACTTCATTTCCTTCTCTCTACATGAACGCAAGAGACTCAAAACAAGGCTTTTCTTCCGGATAGTACTCCCACTACCTGTTTGAACACTGACGAATGACGAATCATATCATACATAAGAATAATAATTTTGACAAGAAAGCTAAGATAGAAAAATAATCCACCACTTCCAAGGTTTATTCCAATGGAAAATTTTAAGATATAATAGTTTTGTTATTGAAGAAATAATTTTCAGCATAGGACACATTTCTACAAAGCAAGAAAGAATACTGCAGGAAATGACAACTTACAAATCATACACAGGCCTCCACATCATTAAAGGAATGACTGAATGAGAGTAATGTTTAAGAGAGGGAACACAAAACAAACCACGAAATAGAGCGAGAGAACAGCCTTCACATAGCTGAAGAATGCAAGGGAATCTTTCATAGTAAATAAAACCACATCAACAAAAGAACCCAACAACACATTGAGAGAACCGTTGTGCCATCGTGATGTAATCATGGTTGACACTGGACTGACACCCTCATTGAATTCCAATGGACCATAAATATGTAATTTACAGTCATAGAGCCTTTAAATTACCAAAAACAGAAAAAAAAAAAAATACCCATAACAATTACCTTATCTGTTTGAGTGTGGAAAATACACTTTGAATTGTTAGCGTAGCAGGTGGAGCTAGTAAAGATTGTGTTTGCCGGCAAACTTGAGCAACATCACCTAATTCACTATTGACTGTTTAATAAATGTCCAAATTTTTAAATCAAAGGAAAAATCAAAAGTGCTATTCACCCAATCATAAACAGAAAAGGAAAGAGAGAGAGAGGAAGCTGAAGAATGTAAAAGGCATATATGTTTATACCAAGATCACCAAGATTTTTATACAAATCTTGTATTTTGGCTTTTTTTGCCCCACATGCCTCTTCCAGTGCTGCTATAACAATACTACCACCAATATTCAATTCCTGGATCACCAAAACTACACAACTTAGGTTGATAATAAAGGATTCTTCTAAGAAAATACAATAGTAAATTAGTAATCAGAATAACGGATTCTTCTACAAACAAATAAGAAACTGATTAGTACTTGAGAATCACAAGCAAAACCCCAAAGAAATTCTCTCATAAGATTTCAAAGGTATTAGCCTTCAACAATTATACATGCCCTTTAATAATTTATGAATAAATTCCCTGTATGACAGTAAAAGATCCAAATTCAAGTATTCAACAATTTAGATAGGGAAACTTGGTTCCTTGGATACATAAACCATGATCAGTGCAGGACAAAGGAAATAACCTAAAACAAAGCTTAAAACAAAGCAAACCAAAAGTAACTATTTTCCAGTAACCAAGGAACACATATAATTCATCGCCATGCAATTGCAAGAGAGCTAAATAATTTTTACACACTTTTACACAAGCTAACTTGACTTTATTCATGCCCTCTGATGCCAAGTATTGAATAGTATATTGGTTTGATCAAATAGTAATGTTAAAGTCAAGTCAGCTTTATGTAATAGTGTATAAAATTAGAGTATGCATATAGTATTATTCTAAAAAGTAAGGAAATAATTATCATTTCAAATAAATAAGAAGAGTAACGTCTCATTAATTTCATGGAAATTTCAGGCTTACAAGCAAATAGCCAAACATGGAATTAGACTAACAATATTTTCATGGTCAGGAGCTATCTTGTTTGTGCACAAATACATGGCAGGTAACACATCCTCTGGAGACAAAGCTAGCAAGCTGCAAATAAGAAAAATTGGAATAAAATTGCACAACGTAATGGCACTAAAAGGAAAAACAGTTACTGAAAGTTTCACCACTAGGTAATTTGACATGATGGCACCTAGCAACCAATGATTCTACTATGGAATCAAGGTAACATACCTCCTAAACATGTTGCACAACATTGACGTAGCTTTTACCTTTCCCTTTTCTTCCTCAACCAGTTCAAAAGTTCGTGCAAGATGTAGGTATGGAGCATGCTGTCCACTCCTCCAGCAAGCTGGGGGAAGAGAAGAGGAAAAACACTCTTATGATAAAGTAAATTCATCAAAATGGGTGCAGGAAACATAAACAATGGATTGCAATTAGTAACCATGTAGGATACCAACCATGTTCCAGAGGTGAATATTTTTCTGGTGGAAGCGATACATTTTTTTCAGCAACGTTCTCCATTGATGGTCCATTCAGAACCATATGAACCTCAGCTCCCCATTTTTTAGATGGCTTAGAATCTTGAGAAGAAAGCACCTTTTGAACACATTGAGATTTGACCCCCTTACTGCTATCATCCTGGATATCTTGTTTCACTTCTGTTGCTTCATTGGCATGGTTATAATATATATCCAATGCCCTATTGATGTCACCTTTAGTCTTCTGAATTATAGAAGCAGCATGGCTTTGTAATGATTCATTACCATTAACAATTCGAATAAATTCATCAATCTCATCTTTATATGGCTCAGTAATGGTGGCACTCAGTGCTGCATTTTTATCACTATGGCAATACTCAATTGCAGCTCCATCATTTTCACTTTTGGAGTCAGGAGGCACTGTTTTACTAAAGAACTTTGTTATAGTACATTGCTTTGATCCACTAGAATCCATCTTAGAATTCAGTTTTGCTCTTTTAGAAGATTTAGTTTCAGTATTTCTCTTCTTTTTACTCGGAGAAATACCAATAGTAACTGACTTCTTCCTACTAGAAGATTTATAGTTCTGACTAGGACTTTTACTTAAAGAAACAATGTCATTTCTTTTGAGGCTCTTAAGAGGCCATGGCTCTGAAAAAGAGGATTCACTCTGAGTTAATTTAAAAGGCAATGAAAACTCATTCTTACGGATTTCCTGGGATATAGATGCACAAGATTCGCTGGTTACTACTTGTTCATGAAACTCAGTTTCATGCTCATAAAAATGAGAAACAGCATCAACAAGATTTCTTTCTGAAATCCTAAGTAAATCCATCATCTGTGATCGAATGACCCAAGAGGGCAAGAAGTCTTGAAGTTCTTTTATAGATTCCTCCATGGCATCTTCATCAATGTCTTCTAAGCCTTGTAACTTGGATTCATTTTGAGGAGATGACTCCTCAATATTCTCCAAATTACCATCTTTACTGCCTCTGAGATCTGATAAAACGGGCTCATTCTGTATCTGTGATATCCCTATGTCACAAGCAGGTTTTTTGACAATATTTTCATCCACTCCTTGGATCACACGATGAAATCCCATTAGAAAATCTTGCTTAATAGCCATTTCATCAACCAAGCCAGCAAAATGCTTACGCATGGCATTAGCATGCTTGCTATCAAGCTTCTCAACATCTATACCAACTGTAGGAATAACACACTTAGGTTTCAAAAATTTCACATATTCCCTAAGCTCATCATAGTTTGAATGCTCGCTATATGGCACAAGATGAATTTCAAAGGAATCTTTCTTCCTCACTGGAAACTTATTCCGCTTTACCTCATAACTCCAACCAGTAGGAACAAAGCCCACAACTTTAGAATACCCTTTCTCAGTCATAATCTCTTGTATTCTCACAAAATTAGGCCTAAAAAAGGGCCAGGTCTCACCCAAGACATTCCATCCAACTACATGAATATCAGTTTCAGATTCATCTTCAGTAAAAACTCCATCCTCATGCCCCAAGACTCTCAGAACTAACATTTTTCTATTTTCCACATGGATCTTCCTCTGACATCTCCGTGCAATTTCCATCAAAATCTTCTCTTTCCCGATAACATAAGTAGCAACAAGAAACAGGACACTCTTCAATGAGCCCTCATTCTCAACTCCACTCGACTCTATAACACCAACAATGTAATCAATAGCCTCATCTTGACTGGGAAACACATACTTCGGATTACAATAAGTAGTATCCAGAAAGACAGCATCAGCACCAACAAATGCATTTAGTATATGATCTAACTTCATCGAATTGCAGTACCGAAAATCGCCAGTATGAACATATCGCTCAAACTTACCATTACAACTATGAACCGGAATTTTAAATAGGAACTGAACTGCGCCAGGGCAATGATTAGCATCAACCAGAAATACCTCACAGCCGTCTATTAATACCTGCTTTGATAGGGGTAAAGACACCACAAAGGGTGCCGGGACTTGAAGGACTTCGACAAGGAGGCGAGCAGTGATTGACGAGCAATATATAACACCTCTGGTCCAATTGGGAGAAAGGCCAGTATAGTGGTCGGAGTGGAAATGAGAGAGGAAGTAGGAGATTGAGAAGTCGCCGGCGTGTTTGAAGCCATCGATAATGAAGCGAGTTTTGGGAATAAGTTTGGGTTGGGGGATAGTTGAAGGTAGACTAGGGAGGGGAAGAGAGGGCGGTGGAATTTGGGAGGAAATGGAGTTGAGAGCGGCAGTGTAGATGGATGTGGAGTCTAGGGTTAGGGTTTCGGGTGCAGTGGACATGGCCGCCGCCGAGACGACGACTGTTATGGAAGGGGAATAGCCGAATAGGTCGGTAGTGATCGGAGAAAATTAAAATTGGGAAGATGATTTAGAAACTGTTGGAACTGTTGGCGTGGCGCCTTGTAACTTGTAAAAGCATGGCAATTATGCATGACAAAGTTCACCTTACATGTTAGATTTGGGATAAGTACAAATAAAGAGCAAATTATCAAAATAGTTCCTTTATTGTGTCGATTTTATCAATTCGATCCTACTCATTTTGACTTAACTAATTTCATTATTCGACTATCAAAATTTTAATGGTTTTAGTCCTCCGGTGACTTAAACAACATATTTTGAGGGATATTATTGGAACTTCACTGTAGCACCGATTGTTGTAGCACCAACTGTTTGTTCTGTTTTATATAAATCCATAATTTATACCCAAATTGATACATCATCCACGCCAAACAACGAATCCACGTCTCTAATGTTCTCCATCAACGCTGCTTCTTCCTATCCAACATGGGTGATAGGTCGTCTTCTTCCCAACAATCAGATCAGACAGTGCATCATTATGGTGAGTTCATATCAGCTCCTAATTGTAATTGTGGGCAAGTGTTGAATCTAGAAATTTCATGAACAAATGATAATTCTGGGAGAAGATATTGGAATGCTCACGTTCAAATTTTCTTAACCATGTTAGTGTGAAAAAAGAAGTCAAATTTCTTAAATTTCGAATGTGAAATTTTGTGAATTTTATGTACAGGGCAGTGTATTTGGATGTGGATTTATTAAATGGTTCGATTCTTCAATGTGTTTAAGGTCGAAGAAAATTATTCCAAGACTATTGAGAAGAATAAATCGAAATGAAGAAGAAATTGAGACATTGACAAAGAAGATAAGAGCAGTTGGCAATACTGGCAAATCAAGTGTTAATTTGATGTTTACTGTTAAAGTAGTGTTCATTTGGACAATAATATTACATAGCGTTTGGTTGGAGGGAATTTAAATTCTATTCCCACCTAATTCCAAAGGCCATCAGATTATTTAGTTTGGTTGGAAGGGATTGCAATTCCCTCATTTTCATGGAATTAAAATCTCATGCCCCCTTGAGATTTTAATTCCATGGATTTTAGAAAGAAAAAATATAATGATGAGACAGAATTATCCTCTCATTTTTTACCCTAAAATTGATGCATGACAACAACAATATAATGGGCATTTTAGACTTTATACTACTTATTCCCTTTCAATTCTCATGTATACCAAACATTGAAATTGAAATTCCCAGTAATTTTATTCATGTAAATCAAACATTGGAATTTCAATTCTCACTTTATTCTCAGTAATTCATCTCTCATGAAATTGCAATTCTTTTCCCACGTAATTTCCTCCTTCCAACCAAACGCCCCATTAGTGTTGCCAATGTGTTATTTTTTGTGTTCTATATCAACTGTTGAAGTTAGGGAAAATAGGGTTAAAATGTTGTCTTGATATCCTGTTAAAATGTTGTATAAGCTTGAATTAAATGGTTGGTATGGTTTATGAAGCTTGAATGAAAAGGTTGGGTTTTTGGTTTTTATATATATATATAGAGAGAGGGGGTCGCACAAGAGCGAAATATGAATGCAAGTCAGCCATCCACGTCTCCAGATCAATGAATTAGATGTAATTTTAAAAAAACGACGCGGTGACATTTTTGTAAAAGACAAGTAATTTTACCTTGTTAACATTCGTGCACCTAGTGCAACTACTTATAACTATAGATACACCTAGTTATAACGTCAGGTGCACTTAGTATTGATGCTCAATGTAAATTTTACTTGCACCTATAATACATTTTACATGCACTTGTAATACATTTTACTTACAAATTTTGCTTTGTTAACATTCATTGATCGGGTGCACCTACTTTCACCTACAAGTGCATGTAATTTTGCATACTTTCACCTACAAGTGCATGTAATTTTGCCTTGTTAACATTCATTGATCGAGTGCACCTACTTTCACCTATGTGCACCTAGTCATAACTATATGTGCACCTAGATCTGAACACGTGGCGCGCGCTGAATCATTCGGATTTCACTCCTGGGCCTGCGCTGAATCATTCGCATTTCGCTCCTGGGCGCGGCATTCACACCTGCGGGAAAGGATTTAGGTGCAGGAAATGGTTCTTTGCGGTTGACACACCTTAAGCATTAAAATGACGTACTTAAGTACACAAACGAACCACACACTTTAAACACACAAACAAAACACTTTAAAAACACAAACAAAATATTTAAGTACACAAACCAAGCACCTTAAGCACACAATAAAACACGGGATGGTTTACAGAACATTTGCAACCAACACAAGCTTGTCGCATGCAGTCAATAATGCATGTGAATAAATTAAATTGGATAAATATATACTCTAGCTATTTTGTTATTACCGTAATAAAGAAAGCAAATATAATTGTGATTTGATTGTAAAACTCACAAGCAAGAATATAATTTGTAATCAATTTAGTTGGTTGTCTTTTACCACCGGACCAGCGACGAAACCGAGAATCGATCGGCGAAAAGCTAAGCTAGCTAGCATCGTCAAGTCCGAAAACCATCTATCGATCTCAACGTCTGCATCGTTATTACAAATGGAAGCCTTTCAATTCCCTACTGCCGGCGGCCCACTTAGATGTTTGAATTGCCGGCGGGCGGACGGTAGCTAATTTAATGTCAAGCCTAGTGATGCATCGGCGGCGGCATTACGATGAGGATGAGTACTCATCATCGGGATCGGAGTACTGTTTGGATGGATTGGACATGCAGCTGATAGGCAACTTCCTGAGCTTCGCCTCCAGGGGGGACAGAGTGGGGTTGAACAAGATGCTGAGAGAAGGCATCAACCCCAACGTCCAAGACTACGACAAGAGAACCGCTCTCCATCTCGCCGCCAGCGAGGGCCATGCCCCCATTGTTGAGCTCCTTCTCGCTTACAAGGCTAATGTCAATCTCAAAGATCGCTGGCGTAGAACTGTAAGCTAAGTAATTCAATTCCAATATATATAATAAATCATAATTTTATATACACAATAATAAAAAAAAAAGTATAGGTAATAGGTGCTTTTTTAAATGTAAAATAATAAATAATTGTGTCAATAAGCTTACTACCATAATAAATAGTAAATTAATTATTGATAAAAAGTTATAAAACAAAAAGTACAAACAGATGCAAAGTTAAAAATCTTTTTAATTGAGGGTAAAAAGTTAAAATGCTTCAAAACAGTGATACAAATTTATTAATAACAAAATATGCTATACATCGATCAACCATTTGTGATCTCTTACGCAATGTTTATGTTGTTTAAGTTTGAACTAAATATTCGTTAGTATAATACTATATATTTGTCAATACTAAACTAAATATAGGCTAGTGTAATTTTCATCACATTTGAACACTTGAACTTATATTAATGTTTATTGAAGCTCATAGTATAACCCAAACTATTATGGTTTCTATTATAATGATAATACCATCAAGATTTTGCTTTACTTGCACTTCTAATATTTATGGGGAATAACCAACTTTTTTTTTTTTTTTTTCTGTTTGTTTTTGTAATGTTGATGTTAAGCCTTTAACAGATGCAAAGGAATATGGACATCAAGACATATGCCGGATTCTTGAGGTGAATGGTGGAAAGGAGTCCGATGATCATCCAATGGTAATTTAATGATCATGATTAATTACTATTCACGCTAGCTAGATCTATCTTTGAGGGTGTTTGGTAAATAGTTGTTAGCTGATTTGGTTGGTGGATTTTACTAATTGATAGTATTAGCTGATTGTAAAAAGATGTTTGGTAAATTAGCTTTTAGTTGATCGAAAAAACTATTTTAAATAACTTTTTGAATTTTAGTATTTTAGAGTGGTTACAAAAAGCTAATTAATCAAATAATCATATTAACTATTTAACTAAGTCAAAGAGCTAATTAACAATGGTCAAACATGTCAAAAATTAAGGATTATTACTGGGTCAAACTATACAACACATGAGCCACATAATAGTTGAATATTAATAAATAATATTTCATTCTGACCTTTAAAAAGAAAAAAAAAAATTCATTCTGATCATGCAGGCTGTACGCCGTGAGGAGGATTCAGTTGAAAACATCATTGACATATCCGAACTGAACTTGCAGAATTCCACAACATTTGATCAGGTGCAGAAATGCTATTACTAGCCAATTTCTAAATATAATGTTACATAGTATTTTGTACATATGTACGTGTTACGTTGGATATTCTATGATATGATATTATTCTCTGACTATATATTATTTGCCAGGGTTTATTTGGTGAATCTAAAAAGGTGAAATGGCGTGGAACCTGGGTAGCCAAAACTCAAATCAGAAAGCAAGTACCACATTCTGACACATTATTCTTTTTTTTTTTTTTTTGAAAAATCTGACACATTATTCTTCATCTGATCTATCTGCTTATTAAGCTTCCTTTTTCTCCTTGTTTACTATACATAGGTGATAGGACTATGCTTTCATGCCCGCATAAGCTTATTAGTTTAATGGTTCAGTAGACAGTATTTGAAAGAAGAGATCAAAGTTTAAATTTCGACAGTAGTAGTGTGGGATTGTGCTCAAAGTGGTAGATTATTTGTGTGCATTGACATTTGACCCTGTCTACTGTACTGAGCCATTGAATTACTGTGTTTTACATCCTCTTAAACACTCTATTGGATCAGGGTCTGGGGAGCCCTTGGGGTTGGGAATTCAACCTTTTTGGGAGAATGACCATGTTTTCATGTGCATTATATTGATATTGATGTTTCACTTGGTGTACGTAGGGTGCTGTCTGCAAAGGATAACACACTGCTCAGGGAACTTCGACACCCCAACATTTTGCAGTTCCTTGGATCAATTGTCCAAGGTGAAGAGATGAGCTTAATCACAGAGTATTTGCCAAAAGTATGTTTCTACTTTCTATAGGCCACCAAAAGTATGTTTCTACTTTCTATAGGCCATCAAACAACAACACAATCTGCTCTATGTTCCATACACTATTCTTTTACTCAGGATAGGAATGCCAATCTTACCCTGAAATTGATAGGCTGGCCCGATAAGATCGAAAAATTTAAGGGGGTTAGGGGTGAAATATTTTAGCCCGATACAAAAAGAGCCCAGTAAACTGAAACCGATAAGTTAGGTGATTTGAACGGGCTACTTTGAAATTTAGTGGGCTAGCCCAATAAACGATCAACTTGGCTATTCTTTGTTACAAAAGGGATAGTGAAATAAAATAATTTATATGTAAGTTCATTTTTAGTTTTTTTTTTTTTTTTTTTTTTTTTTTTTTTTTTTAATTTTTTTTTTAAATTAACTTGTTAAATAAAATTTTAATAATATATTAATAAATGTATTATAAAATAAAATATTTTGATGAAAAATAAAAAACTTACTATAAATATTATATTATATTGTAAGTACGTATATTAATTGTTTTTAGTTAGACTTAAAATTTGAAAATAGAATTTATATTTATTAGTGTAAATGCGTTAATTTATTTATTCAAATTAAAAGTTTATAATGTTAATTTGAAAATGTAAAAAAATTTTAATTTAACTTGCCGTATAGCTCGAAATTTTAAGATTAGGATCAAGAATTTTGAATCTAATCAAAAAAATTGATGAACTCAAATCGATAAAATTGACAGCCTAAATAGACCAAACTAGCCGGAAATCGAATTGGCTCTATTAACCTTCCTAACTCAGTGCGTGGATGCAGTTTATACATTTCTGCCAATGTATGTTTTTCAGTTCTTGTGGTTGTTACTCAAATTAAAGCATGTCCCATGTCAGGGTAACTTGTATGATATTTTGAAAACCAAGGTCCATCTTGATCCCATAACTGCTTTGCGCTATGCGTTTCACATTGCACGGTACAAATTTTATTTTCCTTTTACATCTATTTGAATTGCTCTAGTGTGTTTCCGTGCGGCCATGTGATCACTCACCATTAGATACGCATAAATACATCACAAAGTGTTTAAAAATGCACCATTAGATGTGGTTACTGGTGAGGTTTGGTGAATTTTTTTGGTGTATGGTGCATTTTGTACATTTGTGCATTTCATTATAGTGCATTTTTGAACATTGTGTGGTGCATTTTTGCATACCTGATGGTGAATCTGCACGGGAAGCACTGTCCGCATTTGAACTAGTATATACTGGTTCAAATGCAGACAGTGCTTCCCGTGCGATCGGTGGTACGTAAAAATGCACCACACAGTGTTCGAAAATGCACTACAATGAACCACATACACTCCAAAAAAAATGTAGCACACTACACAACATATAATGGTGCATTTTCGAACACTTTGTGATGCATTTATGTGTACCTAATAGTGAGTGACCGCACGAGAACCACTGTTCAAGGAAACTTGAGTATATATATGTAATGTTTGTATGATATGATTTGACAGGGGAATGAATTACCTGCACCAGCACAAGCCCTTCCCTATAGTTCACAACAATTTGCATACAAAGTAAGTTTTTCCATTCCTTGCTCTCTATGTCTTGGTAACTCAGATATATTCATCTGCTTATATATATACACTACTGCTAATTCAATTCCTTAATTACGAATCACTCACTCTCTTCGAGTACGTTTAGTCAAACATGGAAACAAAACTGTATTCATCTGGTCTGGTCCAGGAATTTGTTGCTGGATGAAGGTGGTCACTTGAAGATTGGTGAATATTGGGTTCAAATGCTGTATAATCAGAGAAACACAAATCAAGGTAGTTGTAAGTCAGCTCACCCTAAACTTTTTGTTCTGTATGTCTCATATGTACAAGCGGGTGGGGTAGCTGTGGTACGGTGTTTTAGTACATGTACATGTTTAGAAATACCTATAAATAAGTAGTTAATTTGTATTTAGATGTTTGATCACCATCACAATTAATAAAAGAATAGTTTCACTCCCGAACATAGACACTTAATTTACCGAACCACCCACTTAAATCTTGTTATTCTTTACTTTCTGTCATTGTTATTGCTTCTTGTTCTGCCATGCACCATTCAATTATCACCTTGATCATACTATGGTTTAACTGTTCCATAGGCCAAACCATCAGCGCTTCTCCATGTGACCCCAAGACAGATGTTCACTCATTCGGCCTCATTTTCTATCAGGCACAAAAATATTTATAGCTGCTCTTCACTTTAGTTTATTCCTCTTTTTTTGCCTCATTAATACTGGAATTTCATGCACTTTAGATGCTGGAAGGGAAGTTTAATGACTGCTCAAAGTATGAACGTAAGCAGTTCAAGGCCATTGATCTAGAGAAGAAGTTTTATATAGGCCGATGCCCCGGAAGAATTCTTCAGTAAGTAAATAATGGAGTTAATGTCTAATTTAGTCTTGGCCGGACTATAATGATTTTTCTTAATTTAGTCCTAAATGTTTTTTTAGGGTGCTTAAATGTGTTATATTATATTTATGTGTAGGATGATTGAGAATTGCACTAGTAAAGATCCATCTCAAAGGCCAGATTTTGGTTCTGTGATAAGGATCTTAGAAGAGGTTTCGATGACATCCAAAACGGCTGGCTGCCCGCCCTGTATTAAGAATAAGAACACTGAACACAACATGAATCATATCAGTAATTGGAGGTTATAAAATTAAAGGACTCAATATAATCAACACTACTATGATCTTTGGTTCATAATCAAAGCTAAGTCCTCTTTCATTTTTGCACTTTCTTTTTCTTGAATTGTGATTTGTGATTGCAATGTCGATTGTTCCAATTGATGTTTCCATTTACTTTTCTTAGCATGAGTATCTAAACTTTCTTAGGGATTTGGATTAAACTCCTTTGTGTTGGGGGTATGTGACATATTTGCGGCCTATTTTTCCCGGTATAATGTGTTGTATACTCTAACTTGGTAGAATACAATTTGAAAATGTCTTGCAACTTGCATCATTTCATTTTATCACTATCTCAAATTTAGCAACACTTTTCTAGGTTGTATTTGCTTCCCCTTCTCATTGAAAGCTACGATGCCTAAGAACTTTGAACCATTACAACAAATAATTTATACAGGTGTTTGGTAAATAGCTGTTAGCTGATTGAGTTAGTAGGTTTAACTAGTTGATAATATTAGCTGATTGTAGAAAAGTGTTTGGCAAATTAACTGATTACATGCAAAATGACTTTCTCAAAAAACTGATCGAAAAAGCTGCTTTGAGCAATTTTTTGAATTTTAGCATTTTGGAGCAATAAGTTGTTACAAAAGCTAATTAATCAAAGACTCATATTAATTGTTTAACCAAGTCAAACAGCTAATAGTGGTCAAAATTAGCTAATAAACTATGTTACCAAATAAGGTCATAGTCTTTGTATTATGTTGTATACGCTAGCTAGGTATAGAATTCAATTTGAAAATGTCTTCCCCTTCTCACTCAAAGTTGCCACACCTAAACCTAACAACTTTAATTAGTCTATCAAAAGAAATCATTTATCAACTCATTTTCCATATAGCCTTTCCGGTGAAATGTGATGTATATGCTAGCTAAGTATAGAATTTCATTTGAAAATGACGTCCCCTTCTTACTCAAAGTTGCCACGCCTATACCTAATTAACAACTTTAAGCCATCAAAACAAATCATTTATATAGGCTAATCCAATTGCCACCTATAGTCTTTCTTGTCGATTGTGTTGTATAAGCTAACAACTTTAATCCTTAAAACCAGTGATAATCCATTTGCCACCTAGCTATAGTCTTTATAGTGAATTATGTTTTATATGCTTGCTAGGTATATAACTTTATTTGAACCAGGACTATGTGGTCTAATGGTATCCGAGTTGGACTTTCATTTGAAAGATTATGAGTTCAAACCTCAGTGGAGGCGTTAATGGTTCTTTGTGTTAGATACTACAATGTAATAGAGCCATAACTTTCAAAAAAAAAAGAAGCTTTATTTGAAAATGACTTCCCCGGCCCTTTACTCATAGTTTATTAGTTACCACACTTATTATAATTTATTAACAACTTTAAACCGTCAAAACAAATCATTTATCCAAAATAACCCACTTGTCACTTCTAGTGGTGATTATGTTACATGAATAATTGAATAGGCTAGGTAGCTATATATATAATTCTATTTGAAAATGGCTTCCCCTTCTCACTCAAAGTTTGCACACATAAACTTGGCAACTTTAATCTGTCAAAACAAATCATTTTTACCCATAATAACATAACCCATTTGCCACCTATAGGCCATGTTTGGTAAAATAGTTTGCCTATCAATTAATTTTGGCTTATTTGACAACTATTAATTATTTGATTTGGTTAAAAATTTAATATAAGTGTTTGGTTAATTAGCTTTTTGTAACTCTAAAATGCTAAAATTCAAAAAGCTGCTCAAAACATTTTTTTCAATTAGATTTTTAAGAAAAGAAATTATGGTCCTGTTTGGTAAAATAGTTAGCCTATAGACTAATTTTAACTTATTTGATCACTACTAATTGTTTGACTTGGTTAAAAAATTAATATAAATGTTTAATTAATTAGCTTTTTGTAACTTCAAAATGTTAAAATTCAAAAAACTGCTCAAAGAAACATTTTCAATTAGCTTTTTGAGGAAGGAAATTATACTAAAGCTAATTAGTATAAGTGTTTGATTAATTAACTTTTTGTAACTTCAAAATGTTAAAATTCAAAAAACTGCTCAAAGAAACATTTTCAATTAGCTTTTTGAGGAAGGAAATTATACTAAACAGTTATCAGTTAACAACTAATTTACCAAACACATTTCTATAATCAGCTAATATTATCAACTACTTATACTTTCGCATTAACCCAATCAGCTAACAGCTGACATCCATTTATCAAACAGGACCTATATCAAACAACTATCAGCTAACAACTAATTTACCAAACACTTTTCTATAATCAGTTAATGTTATCAACTAATTATACTCCTAAATCCCTAATTAGCCTAATAATTAAGCTAACATACTAATAGCTAACAACCATTTACCATAGTCTTTACAATGGATTGTGTTACTAGCGTTATATAGAACTCGATTTGACAATGACTTCCCCGATATATTCAAAGCGGCCACAGCTAAATCTAACTACCATAAACCATTAAAAAAAATCATTTATCTAGGAAAATTCATTTGCCAAATATAGACTTGTTGGCTGATTGCGCCGCATACGATAGCCAAGTATAGAATTCAATTTGAAAATGTCTACTCACTCAAAGTTATATTGTTTTGTCACTTTCCAAAACTTAGAAATGCCTTTCTGAGTTATCTCTGCTTCCATCTTATCATTCCGAACTAGGTTATCAAATGTTTGTGTCTGGTTTGCTTTCTGTTTAAGCTCAATTTACTGCTTTGAATATTACCTAATCAGTCATGCTAAGCGCCTTAGGGTGTGTTTGAAAACCCGAAAAATGATTTCTAAAAATCATTTTCTGGATTTTTGGTGTTTGGCTAGGTTGAAAAATGAGAAGTCAAAGGAAAATGAGGCCTAGTCAATAGAAAATGAGCTCAACTTTATGGAAAATTACTTCCCCTCAAGGCTAAAGTAACCTACAACAACTACTCTCTTCTCTGGTTTCTGGCCAGACACCAGAGAGCACTGCTCTCTGGTTTTCGGCCAGAGACCAGAATTCTCTGGTTTCCGGCTGGAAACCAGAGAGCATTTATCTGGTTTCCGGCCGGAAACTAGAGAGTAAGTACTACTCTCTGGTTTCTGTCGTTTGTTTTTTTGTTTTTGTTTTTTAAAAATTTTTAATAAATAATATTATTTGATTTTAAAAATAAATCTTATTATTGTAAATTTTATATATTTTAAACAAAATAATTAATTATATAAAATGTTTAATTATACAATTCTACACCATTTCCAGAAAATGAGCCAAACACATGTTGGAGAATTCGCAGAAGAACAACAATGTCGTGCGAGATGTAGGCTGTTAGGCAGTGTGTTTTAATAGTAGAGAGGTTTCTGTGTCGTGTCTAAACACTACCTTAAAAGCATTTAACGAACAGGGCTATCGCTAGCTTTCGACTGGTAAGCACAGAAAAGATAACGCAGGCAACCTCTATTCACCGTGATTTCTCAGTGTGTCTTGCAGTGTTGGGGACGAGCGATTTATATACTGAAAGTAAAAAACCGCTTGTCCTATCTCAGCCATGAAGAAACAGCGAGAAAGATGGGAAGTGGGAAAGGCCAACGCCAAGTGCGCGCACGTTCCTTTGTTCATAATGAAGTGCGGACAAGGTGATCTAAAACCCACAAAAATAGGGGTAGAAATGTGTAGTGGGGTGCAAAACGTCCACCCCACCGCGACGCGCGTGCGAACCGAGCCGAGCGGGCGGCGGCGGCGCGCGCGTGATTTCCCCCTATTTCCCTCTAGGGGTGGAAATAGGCCGAGCCGAGCCGAGCCGAGCTTTATCAAATTAGGCCTGGGCCTGTTACGAAAATCAAAGCCTAGGCCTGGGCCTGAGCCTGTATGTAGGCTTTTTGTTAGGCTCAAGCCTGAGCCTACAATTAGCCTGGCCTGGCCTGAAGCCTTTTTAAAAGCCTGTTTAATATTTAGGCGATTAAATAGGCTTCAAAGTAAGTCCTACTTTGAGCCTGTTTAAAGCCTACATGTTAAGAATTTTTAAAAACTATAATAAATATATCTAAATAATTTAAGAAATATACCCAATACAAAATTAAAACATAATTAAATGAGTATATATATAAACATAATAGCCTTAAAACATAAATTAAAATAAAATAAAACAAGTCACGACTTCAACATGCTCGTTAACTTGTTTAGAAATAAATTCAATTGTATTACTGTTTGTTATCCTATATAATCTCATAAATAATCAACAATCAACTCACATAATTAAGTTGCGACATTTCATTAAATATTATGACAGCAAGAACAATTAATAAAAAAATAAACAATTGGAAAACTTATAGCAGGATTAGCAACAATGTTTATAGTTGAATCATAATTTAGAATGGAATTTTGGAGGTGGAGGGTTAAGGTTTGGTAATTATATATACTTGGTGTTATATTGTAAACATAAAAATATATATTAGGTATATATATATATATATATGCCAGGTCTGTTTAGTTTAATAGGCTTTTGAAACTGGCTCAAAACACTTCAAACCCCTATTCCCACCCCTATTTTCTTCCATAACACTTCAAACCTTCTCAAAGGGGTTGGTGAATAAAAGGGGGTAAAAAGTGGGTTAGCTTGCCAATGTGGGACACATGAATAAGGACAAAAATCACAAAAGGCACCCAAAAAGCCTTTGCCTTGTTAAATGTTTCCCAACAATCCCCCACACACTTAAAGGGGTAAAGGCTATACCCAAGTTTACCTGAGCCAGTACAAGAGCTAACTCCCATGTCAGTGTACGGAACTTGAACTGTCATGAAGGCATCAAGTAACTTGTTCCCCGAGAGTGAATTGAATCTTGAACTCATCGGTTTATTGAGTTTTGAACTTGAACGCCCTTTATTAACTCTTTAAGAATCCCTGTATAGTCTAGCTCATTCTAGACATCAACTCTGTCAAGTCTATCTCGATATAGACCACCCATCACGGGTTACGGAGAAAGCAGTTTTATTACAGTTTTCTTTAGTGTAAGTCTTTCCGTGATTTGACCCCGAAGTGGTGTCCATCACGAATTTCTTACCTCACTGGGTTTCAGACCCATCTCCCTTGATGTCAAGGACGGCCTTTCAGTTTAAGCCTTTTGTGAAAGGATATGCAATATTCCTTTCAAACCTCACAAACTCCATTTTGATCACCCCATTTAATATAAGCTGCCTTACAGACTCATGTCTGACCCTTATGTGTCTTCTTTTCCCATTATAGACACTATTCTGTGCTACACAGATGGCAGTTTGTGAATCACAATTCATAGGAACAGCCGGGGCTGGATACCCCCACAATGGCACGTCTGCCAGTAGGTTTCTCAGCCACTCAGCTTCCTAACTTGCCAGATCAAGCGCTATGAACTCGGCTTCCATAGTTGATCTAGCAATACATGATTGTTTTGTTGATTTCCAAGAGATAACTGCTCCGCACATAGTGAACACGTACCCACTAGTCGAGCTTACATCTTGACTATCATTTACCCAATTTGCATCACAAAACCCTTCTAGCACTACTGGGTGTCCTTTGTAATTAAGACCCAGTCCACGGTGCCTCTAAGATATCGAAATATCCTTCTTAACGCATCCCAATGCAGGGAGCTAGGGTTGTGAGTATAGCGACTGAGCTTATTCACTGCAAATGCGATATCAGGTCTAGTGTAATTCATAAAAAACATTAGACTTCCAATTATCTTTGCATACTCCTCTTGAGACACACTAGTGTCTACATTTTTTAAACAATTTGATACTTGGATCAAAGGGGTTTTTAGCCGGAGTCACCTCATAACTGTCAAACTTCTTTAGAAGTTTCTCTGTATAGTGGCTTTGTGACAACAGATAGCCACAATCAGTCTTTGTGACTTTTATTCCCAGTATTAAATCTGCTTCCCCTAAGTCCTTCATTTCAAATTTGAGTTAATACCCAAAATGGTCCTCGACTATAGTGGTTTTTCTCAATTTCATCCTAAACGACTTTGGTGACCTAATATCGTCCCAGACTTTTGTGTTCCGCTCAATTTAGTCCCAGACTTTTGTGTTTTTGCTCAATTTAGTCCCTCATTTGTTATTCTGTCCATTTGGTGTTAAATAAATAGACAATTCAGTAATTTTAATATTGGCATCTCTTTACTCATAGACATGTGAACTGCGAAATCCCTTTTTTTTTTACGAATTACTTCCAGAATTACTCCTAAAACTGCGAATATAAAATTTGATTTGCAGGTCCGGGAGTAATTCTGGGTGTAATTCGTACAAGAAAGAGGAATTTCGCACTTCAGAAGTTGAAAGTAAAGAGAGATCAATATTGACATTACTGAATTGTCCATTTATTTAACACTAATTTGACGGAATAACAAATTGAGGACTAAATTGAGCGAAACACAAAAGTCTAGGACGATATTAGGTCACCAAAGTCGTTTAGGACGAAATTGAGAAAAACCACTATAGTCGAGGACCATTTTGGGTATTAACTCTTTCAAATTTGTCACATAGAGTCTTTTTAGTTTTATTTATAGCCTCAAGGTTTGAGCTAAAAATCAACATGTCATCTACATAGAGACATATGATCACAATGCTAGACTCTATCTCTTTTGTGTACAAGCATGCATCTGATCGGTTAGTAGAATAACCCAGATCTAACAAGGTTTTATGAAATTTTTCATACCATTGTTTAGGGGCTTGTTTCAAGCCATATAGAGACCTCTTGAGTCTGCATACTTTTCCTTCCTGCCCTGGATCAACGCATCCGGGAGGTTGCTCCATGTAGATTTCTTCCTCTAGTTCACCATTTAAAAATGCTGTCTTTACATCCATTTGGTGAACTATCAACTTGTGTGAAGAAGCCAGTGCAAACAAAACACGAATGGTTGCAATTTTTGTTACCGGTGAATAGGTATAAAAATAGTCCTCACCGAATTTTTGTGTGTAGCCCTTGGCTACTAGTCTGGCTTTGAATCTTTCAATTGACCCATTTAGCCTTAGTTTCCTTTTGAAGATCCATTTACAGCCGATTGGTTTGCAACCCTTTGGTTTGTTGACCAATTCCCAAGTGTGGTTTAGACTGTATTGAGTATTTGAGTCTAACTCACTTTTAACTGCTTCTTTCCACAAAATGGAATCTACTGAGCGCATGGCTTCTTCGAAGCTTGTTGGTTCCTCTTCTAGGGCCAGTTGACATATGAGCTGATCACAAAGTTCATTCACATCTTTCAACTCAGTTACATAAGTTAAAAAATCAGAACCAAAGTTCTTTTCAACTCTAGGCCTTTTACTTCTTCGGGGCTCTTCAGAGTTGATTGGAAAACTGGGAAAAACATCATGCGAAGTTTGTTGAATTCTATCAACAGGTGTACCACAAGCATTATTTAACGGAAAAATGTGTTCAAAGAATATAGGATCTCTAGATTCACACATTGCACGGTTTTCCAAACACATAAACCTGTATGCTGCGCTGTTTTCGGCATACCCAACAAATACGGCATCTATGGTTTTGGGTCCCAAATTGGGCCTTTTAAAGGATGGTAGTCCCACCTTAGCCAGACAGCCCCATACCTTTAGGTACTTAATATTTGGGGCATGCCCTTTCCATAGCTCATAGGGGGTTTTTTCAAACCCTTTGTGCGAGACTCTATTTAAGATGTGGTTTGCTGACAAAACAGCTTCTTCCCACAGTGAGTCCGGAGCACCTGAACTGATTAACATAGCGTTGATCATTTCCTTGAGCGTTCTATTTTTCCTCTTGGCAATGCCGTTTTGTTGAGGAGTATAAGGGGCAGTTAATTCATGAATAATGTCCGAAGATTCACACAGAGTTTTCATTGTATTTGATTCATATTCTCCCCCTCTATCGGAGCGAAGACGTTTAATCTTTTTGTCTAACTGATTTTCTACCTCAGTTTTAAAAGCCACAAATTTTGGTTCGACTTCATCTTTTGTTCTTAGTAAGTACACTTTAGAAAACCGGGAGAAATCGTCAATGAAAGTAATATAGTAGCGTTTTCCACCTCTACTTTCAGTGGTTTTAAAATCAGCTAAATTGGTGTGAATCAGTTCTAATACAGATGTAGTACGCAAACTCACATTTGAAAATGATTTTCTAGCAAATTTTGCTTCAGCGCAGATTTCACATTGTGTGCATGCTTCATTAGACAGATTAGGCAACAAATTCATGTTTTTCATTCTATTTAAACATTTTGTGCCAATATGTCCTAATCTACCATGCCAGATATCTAACGAAACAGTAATGTAAGCAGAAGAAGAAGCATTGTTATTATTGGTTTGAACATGCCAAGCCGGGGTGTGGTTTTCAGTACCAACTACATCAGAATGCTTTCTAACTACTGTGACATCTAACACAAAAAGCCCTCCACGCAGGTATCCCTTTCCCAAAAACATCCCACGTCGAGTCATGACCATTCGGTCAGACTCAAGTACCATTTTAATTCCGGCCTTATTAAGTAGGCCTGCAGAAATCAGGTTTCTACGGAGGGAGGGAACAAAGAACACATTTTGTAAAAGTAACTATTTCCCAGACCCAAGCATTATTTGTACTTTTCCCCTACCACTTACCTGGGATATGCTGGAGTTTCCCATGAACACTTGTTCTTCTCCAGTGATTGACTCAAATTCTTTGAACAGATACTTGTTGTTGCAGAAGTGACGTGAGGCACCAGTGTCTACAACCCACTCGTCTGGATCTTCAACTGTATTTGCCTCGGTTATCACTGCTGCCACAAGGTCAGAGTTCTCCGTGTCTTCCACTATGTGTGCTTGGCCTTTTGGACCTTCAGAATCTGTCTTTTTACCATTCTGGTTTGTGTTCCCTTAGCGTTTGTAGCATTGGGCAGCACGGTGGCCAAGTTTGCCACAAACATAACACTCACCAGAATTCTTTCCCTTTTTCTGAATTTGCCCACTTTTGACATGGTTGTTGTTGTTGTGTTTATAGTTTCTGCCTTGGTTTTTATTATTTTTACCTGGCTTTGGCTTATTAAAGCCTGGATTAGCCTCAACAACATTTGCTTTAATAGAGCTAGAAGGAACAACAGACCTGTGAACCAGACGGTTTTCTTCCTCAATGTTCAGGCTGTTGATCAACTGTTGAAAGGTATAGGTGCGTTGATCGTGCTTCATCTTGTTCTTGAAGTCCACCCAAGATTCGGGCAGTTTATCCACCAGTGAATCGCAGAGTACAACCTCGTTAACCACAGCACCTTCTGCCTTCATGTCTGCAACAAGGTTTTCGAACTCGTGTACCTGTTCAAACAATTGGTTTGGTGTCATTCATCATGAAGTGCAGCCACCTCCCAACTGCATATTTCCTTCTTCCAGCATCGTCAGCACCATATTTCTCCTTGAGTAAGTCCCAGATTTGCTTTGCTGACTTATATAAGGAGAACATGTCAAACAAAGGATCTGAAACCCGTTGGAGAATGGCGGTGCGAGCAGTCTTGTTATCCTTCTCATACTTCTCACAAACTGCCTGGGTTACTTGGGAAGGTTGTGTTGAGGTCGACTTGGGATCCTCGAAAGCTGGTGTTTCCTTTGGATCCATAGAGTCCACTGAAGGCGTGGCTGGAGTGTCCTATTGAGCAGACGAATCAGGTGACTGCGAATCCGCCACGTTAAATTTCGCAGGGTCCTCGACTATAACGTAGTCGACGTCTTTCGACTCCAGCAACATCATCACCTTCGCAGACCACCTTCTGTAATTGAGACCACCTGTCAGTGGTTGAATCGGAGCGACATCCAACCCCGCTGCTGGTCCCTGAGACATTGCTGAATGCGAACTTAAATGATTTTAATTGTTGGAGAATTCGCAGAAGAACAACAATGTCGTGCGGGATGTAGGCTATTAGGCAGTGTGTTTTAATAGTAGAGAGGTTTCTGTGTCGTGTCTAAACACTACCTTAAAAGCATTTAACGAACAGGGCTATCTCTAGCTTTCGACTGGTAAGCACAGAAAAGATAACGCAGGCAACCTCTATTCACCGTGATTTCTCAGTGTGTCTTGCAGTGTTGGGGACGAGCGATTTATATACTGAAAGTAAAAAATCGCTCGTCCTATCTCAGCCATGAAGAAACAGCGAGAAAGATGGGAAGTGGGAAAGACCAACGCCAAGTGCGCGCACGTTCCTTTGTTCATAATGAAGTGCGGACAAGGTGATCTAAAACCCACAAAAATAGGGGTAGAAATGTGTAGTGGGGTGGGGTGGAAAACGTCCACCCCACCCCACCACACCGCAAAGCACGTGCGAACCGAGCCGAGCGGGTGGCAGCGGCGACGCGCGCGTGATTTCCCCCTATTTCCCTCCATAACACTTCAAACCTTCTCAAAGGGGTTGGTGAATAAAAGGGGGTAAACAGTGGGTTAGCTTGCCAATGTGGGACACATGAATAAGGACAAAAATCACAAAAGGCACCCAAAAAGCCTTTGCCTTGTTAAGTGTTTCCCAACAACACACAAAGACAGTTTTCTGTTGTGTAGCCAAACACGAGAAAAGAAAATGTTTTTCAGAAAATGACTCATTTTCCAGAAGTCATTTTCCTACTTTCCAAATGGACCCTTAGTAAAGAAACTAGATTTTAGATGGTTTAAATGCTACATGGACTGTGCAATAAAAAACAATTATCTAATAAGTAGTCCTAGATCATACAAATATGATTGGGCATCCGGATATCAACATGAATACACACACATATACTGGATCAAATATGTACATAGCTTCCCGCGGTCAATGCGTATTACACCATTAGGTATGAATAAATGAACCACACAGTGTTCGAGAGTGCATCAGAATGAAATGCACAAATGCACCCCAATATTCACCACACATCAAGAAAATGCACAACACTTCGAACAGTTTGTAGTGCATTTATGCATACCTAATGGTGAGTGATCGCATGAGAACCCGACCATATATATATATATATATATATATATATATATATATATATATATATATATATATATATATATATATATATATATATATTTGTCTGTTAGCATCTTTAACCCATCCTTCTCTGTCGCAGCATCTCTTGAAGTAGAATATCCACTAGTCTATTAATCTAACTTAATCCTACAAATTGTACAGGCTGAACTAAAACTTTGTCACAATAGCAAGCCAATTATATGTAGGGTTTAACAGTCTTTGACTATAACAATCTCCCCATTTAGTTGTTATTTGACAAAACAATAACTAAGAAACATACATACCATTGAAAACGACACATCATATACAAGATAATTGTAAAAAAAAAAAAGAAATTATTACAAGATGAAATATTATCATCACCACATCATTACATAAAAAACAAATTTCAAATTAGTCCCAAATCATCATCACCATACCAAACTTCTAAACAAATTTCCAAAATTTTCCAAATAAAGAGAGAGAAGAGAGTAAAGGGTGGATAGTGTGAGAACATAACAATGCCTAAATCAAAAGGTCTCTTCATCCAATGCCATATTGAAGTCTAGCCAAATCTTTTGACACGATGTTGGTGTGACCATATGATAACTAGTTTTGACAATGCAATCATGAGGCCCATGAAGTGAGTTTATCGGTGTTGGGAAAAATCCCACTACCTATGACAAATGAAAATCACAGGACCGACAAGAGCGCAAATATGAGATGGTACGAAATAGCCAAAATAAATAACAGATACAAGGAACACAAGATTTACGTGGAAAACCCCAAAACCACGGGAGAAAAACCACGGAACCACCAACAACAAAATATTCCACTATAATAAATCTTGGGTACAAAGTTCCTGGCTACCACACAAGCCAAACATCCAAAATCATTAATACACCAACACTAGACCAAATACATATATTATAATTCACAGGCTAAAAGGAATATATCTCGTACCCAAAATATTCAACCACCACGAGCAAGGTGAACAGAATACAAATATTACAAGATTACCCAAATGATGCCTGGAATAAATACAAGCTGACCTCAAAATATTTGATGAAAATAATACCCAAGAGATCGGCAAACCCACGACAAAGTAACGCCACAGATGAAGAAGAAATTGATGATGCTCCTTCTACTGTTGCTGCGTACGCCATGAAGAAAGAAGAAGAAATGTATTTTTTCTCTTCTTTTTCTTAATACACTGCCGAATGGAATATGAAATATGTGATGTAGAAGTGTGTAGATTTTTCTCTCTCACTCCTTGAAGAATGAGCACTGCATCCCCTTTTATAATTGTTGTTCTGCTTACATAAGAGGGGAAAAGGGGGAAGAAAGCAGTGAAGGAAAATTATCTTCAAACCTCATCCCATCAACTTTGTTCTCCAACTTCAACCCAATATCTTTTTCTCTCCAACTTCCACCCTTCAACTTCTACCCATATCCCATTCTCCCATGACAATTAAATAATTGTCAGAAACACTTTCTTAAGAAGCTATCAAATATTATAGTGAATATAAATTGGCTTGGTCCAAAATGAGCTATTTACCACATAGGAGGGAAGCTCAATCCCAACAACTGGCAGTCAAAGTCCTAGCCATTTTATTATAATCATACTCCTCACCATCTTCTTCATCAACCCTACCAAATTGTTCATTATTGATCACTATTGGGCTGAATTTATACCATTTATTTTTGAAGAAGACCCTTTCAAAATTGGGGTTGGTTGGGTTAACAACTTCTTCAGTCAAGTTGGTGAAGAATTGATTTGTTAGCAATTGAGAATATGGACTGATACCTTGAACAATTTCTAGAAGGTTTGTCTCTTCAAGTAAACTGGCTATCTGGCAGATCTTGTTGAATTGTTGAACATCAATATATCTTTGAACAATTAAACCTCTTTTGTGGTTCTTCTCCATTTTCGGATTACCTCATCATTCTCAAAGATTGGCTTGAACTTTACTTGAGATGACTTTTAATTTTCTTAATGTCTTCTGGAACAATGATAAATATCTTTTTAGAGGATCTGGTTGCTCTCTTATGTGATATAGGTGAAAAAGGTGATATAGAAGCTCTTCTATTTGTCAGAATCTTGTCCTTCAATTTTGGTGAAATTTTCTGTTGGTCCCAAAAGAGGTGCAGTAAAAATCTAGAAGGTTTGTCTCTTCTAGTAATAGACTTATAAACCGATTTCGCAAAGTACAACAATTGCTAAGGCACAGAGAAACCAAAACTCTTAACTAGATTGTTAGAGCCTGGTGCACAACGGAAAATAAAATAAAGTAAGTGTGTGTAGAGATTGTGTCAAGTATATCTCATGAGAAGCAAGCAAGAAGCAGTAAGTAAAGAAAGCAGTAAAGAACACAAGACAATTATAGTGGTTCGGAGGTGGTGTAATCCCCCTACTCCACTTGCTCTTATCCTCCAAGAGCAATTCACTATATCTACCACTACTTGGTTCCAAGAGACAATGAATTTTGTGATCTAGTGCTTTGATCACAAAGCTCACACCAATCACGCCCAGTGCCACCAACACTGCTGCTTCGGATTTCACGACTCCGCGTTACTTTCCAGGATTTCTCGACTCCGCGTTACTTTCCTCCCCTTTCTACACTCTGGTAGAACTACAAATTGGATTTCACGACTCTGCGTTACTTTCCCTTCTCCAAGACTTCACACTCCTTGTGGCAATCTCCTTCCTACACTCTAGTAGGGATGCCACTTGTTTATAGAAAAACAAGTTTTTCTTGCTTCCAACTTTGAGACTCTGTAGATGATCTTCAATGTACTGCAAGTCTCTTGTGATGAAGATATAACACTCCTTGAATGATTTCTCTTGAATGCTCTGAATCTCTGAGTGTATTTCTCTCTTTGAATGTATCAAGTATAACAACACTTGATTTTTATGCTCTGTTTAGCTCTGTATTTTTGAACTCTGTAGATCTTTCTTTCTTTCTTAGCTCTCTGAGTTCTTGAATATTTTCTCACTTGAAGATTTTTTGTATGCTCTGTATTTTCACTTGTTGGAACTCTTCTTCAAGTCTTCAAATCTTCTGGTAAAGTGTCAGAAAGATATTCTAGCCGTTTGTAAATCTCCAAGTCCACGCAAATGGGTTCCCAAACTTCATATGGTGTTCTCACGGTTCTCACGTTAGGGGAATTTTTCTTCGATATTCTAGCAATTTGATCTCCAAGTCCACGCAAATGGGTTCCCAAACTTCATCTGGTACTATTCCTTCGCCTCTCCTCAAATTTTACCTTGTAAAATTGTAGATGGTGAGATTTGAACTTAAGCCATAGGCTATAATATAACAAGCATTTTCCAATTCATCTGTATGATCATTTAGTTATATCTCCAATCTTCTTTGATGTACTCCTTTCTTTCCATAGATGCTTGATCTTCAAGTCAAATTCATGCAAACTTCAAATCTTGATTTTCTTCAAAGAAAATTCTTATGGGAATTCTTTTTGAGTAATGTATCGACGTGAAGTTCATATCATATGTCTTCTTCTTCTATTTGATTGTCATTTTTACCAGACAAATTCTTGATTTTAGGCATGATATCTTCCTCTACTTTTCATACATCTTCCTCTTCTGTTTTTCTCTTTTGCTTCTTAATTAATAATTTCC